TCGAGTGGTATGCTTTGGGTAAATAAAATTACCCTCTTCATCTTTCTTGGTGTGGATGTGACATGGCAGATCCAAAACATTATTTCCATCTTGATCCTTGACTTTCTTGGGCTTCCAGGGGCCTTTGGGTTTTCCCTTGAAATTTCCCTGGGTTACGTCCAGGGCCTCCCCAGGGGCGGCTGGCTTGGCCTTCCACTTCTGCTTCCGACTGGAATTGCCTCGGGTTTCCTGGGCGACTGCTTTCTGCTTGCCACTCCAGAGTCGATCTTCATCTTCTCCGTTAGCGTATTTGGTGGCAATTTCCATCATCCGATTCAGAGACATTTCTCCGGTCCGACCGAACTTCAGGTTCAACTGTCTGTTCTTGACGCCTTCTTTAAAGGCACAAACTGCTTGGTGATCCGGTACGTTCTCAACTGTGTGATGCAAAGTGATCCACCTCTGGATGTAATCCCTCAGAGTTTCACTCGGTTTCTGCACGCAAGGCTGCAATTCTGTAAGGCCTGCTGGTCGCTTGCATGTTCCTTCAAAAGTTGTGACAAACACTCGAGAGAGATCCTCTCAAGTATAAATGATGTTGGGTGCTAACTGATTCAGCCACGCTCTGGCCGAGCCCTCTAACATGAGAGGCAAATGCTTCATGGCCACCTCATCATTGCCACCGCCAATCTGTACAGCCACTCGGTAATCTTCGAGCCAAGTGTCAGGCTTAGACTCACCGGTGAACTTGCTGACTCTAGTCGCCAACCTGAAGTTGGGAGGAATCACTGCGGCTCTGATGGCTCGACTGAAACACTCTGGCCCCGAAACATGTACTCTGCTGCTGCCAGGCGCATCTCTGTTGTGGCCTTCTCGGTGAGCTCTGTTCCTGTCAACCAGACCCTGAACGAGGATGGATCTCGCATCAAAGCCTGGGTCCCTGGGGTCGACTGGAACCCTCCGCCCAACACTATGAGGGTGTCTGTCATCCTGCTGTCGAGGCGCATATGACCCACTCCCTGGGGGAGGGGTTGGCACTCGACGTCGATCAAACCGGTGATCATACTGCTCATTTCTTCTGTACTGATCGTGCCGGTCTCCGCGTCCCTCACGCCTCGGGGGCGATCTTGGGCTGTGAGCCGACTGGACTATATCCGTTGCAACGGATCGACTGTGGATCCTATTCCGCGACTGAGAAACAGCGGAATTCTGGTTCCCCGCTGCCCAGAGCAACGCTCTGATTTGCAACAAGCCCCTGCCAACCTCCGACTCGGAGGGCTGAATCGATTCTGCTATACGGGCCGCGGCTGCCAAATTCTGAACTGGGGTCCGATATACCTGCGTAGGCGGGAAGAGCTAACGTCGACTGGACTCGGGAGCTCACTGACGCGCTTGCTCGCCGAGTATTCGCTGGAGATTCTCCAGTCGAGTGCGCTTGGCCAAGTTAGCCAAGCGCGCGTCCTCCAAGGCCCGGGCCTCGGGGGTTTCTCCGACGATAGGGGTGCGGAGTGCATCCATGTTCCGGCGGTGAAGCTCCTCTCGCTGCAATGACGTGAGAGGTTCGGGGAGATACTCATCGTGGGGATGCGACGGGTCGCCTCCACCCGCGCCTCCATCGATGCGAGCGAAACCGGGAGGACTGTGTGTTCCATCGACCGCCAGAACCTCAGCCGTCGGGTCGCTGCTGCCGCACTCGGATGCGGTCTCCGCGGAGCCAGTCGACAGGTCGAACAGGCCGTAGAGGGATTCGTCGGGCTCGATTGCCGCGACTTGTGGGGCTGCCGACTGGCGGGCCACGACATGCCTCACCCACCTCTGAAGTCTCGACCGGCCGGAGCGCTTGCGCCGGTGGGAGACAGGGCGGGAAGACGACACGGGAGCCGACCGATACTGGGTCGACGGCTGCCGCAGGAGGACGCCACGAACACATGCACGGAAGTGCGTCGCACCGCGGACGGGGAGGGCGTCGGTGTCGAGTGGAGCCTCCTGAAGCCAAGCGGAGTTGTCGGCGACGAACGTGAGTGCGCCGAGACGGATCTCGCGGCCCTCCACCAAATCTTCGCACGAAAACATGATCAAAGGGATCGGAAAAATCGCAACTTCTCCAACTAGGCGCTAAGACTCCTACCCCACGGTGGGCGCCAACTGTCGTGGTTCTAACCCTGACAGTGATGTAGGGGGGTGTGTACGGAGAGGCTAGATCTTAGCTATTGGGAAGTTGTAAACACACCAAGATGTACGCGTTCAGGCCCTTCGCGGAGGAAGTAACAGCCCTACGTCTCGGTGCCCGGAGGCGGTCGATTGGATTATAGGCATGTGAATAACAGAGGTGCGAACCCTTCATACTGAGGAGGGGGTGGCTTATATAGAGTTCGCCGGCCCTCTCCTGCCCTCAGTGATGCAGGGTTTAAGGTACATTTAAGGTTGGGCGTTACTGGTAACGCTCCTAATAAAGTGCTATAATGACCATAAAGACTACTTAATAGCCGACCGTTTGCCTACGGAGTGACTTTAGGTCTCCTAGCAGTCGAGTGGTTGGCTTCATGGTCGAGTGATAGCTTCTTGGTCGAGTGTCTTGAACCCATCGAGTGGGATACCTTCAAGTCGATTGAAAGGTGACTTCTTCTAGGGATGTCCTTGGGTAGGGCTCCCTGGACGGGTCCGTGCCCCTACCCTAGGTACATAGCTTCATCACTGGGCGGCGTCGGCGTGGCTTCTGTGCTGCGGGGAGTCGTGGAGGCATCATCGCTCGGGCTTGGAGGCGTCGGCGTGGGCGTGGGCGTGGGAGTTGGCGGCGCCGTTGACGGCAGCTGGTTCAGGATGAGACCACGCTCCGTCGAGTACCACCTTGACCGCCTTGTCGTTGCTCTGGAGCATGTCCGCCTCGCCCAGCAGGAAAGCCAGGTCGGTGTTCCTCTTCTTCACGGTGACGTTGGTCTGGAGTAGGTCGAGCTTGACGGCGCTGCTCGTCATCAACGCCGACCACCACGCCTCGGTCTTCTCTTCACGCAGGACGGCCCGGGCCTGTGCGTCGGCGAGGCAATGCTCGATGGACTCCTGCACCCGCGCGGTAGCCGCGTCGACGTGTTTCGCCTTCTTGGCCCCTTTGTTGCCGTCCAGCTGCCCCTCTGACGCGCCCAGCGGCGCGTCCGGCTTGTAGGTTTCCTTGATCTTGTCGAGGGTACGCCAAACTTCCGCCCACTTCTCGCACTTGTCAATGCGCTTGTAAACATGGAGGTACTTGAACTCTTGGTCACGGTTGCCTAGGCGATACAAGGCGAACATGCGCACCAACTGCGCGGAGGAACAAACAGTTGACGGGAGTGCACGGCGAATAGAAGCGGGAGACCGGCGTGCCGTACCTGACCCTCGACGTTGGCGCCGCTCTCCGGGCGAGCCGCGATCTCCTCGACGATCCCATGCCATTTGTTGCACGCTGCCTGGATGAGCCCCCAATGGTTCGTCATTGCCTTCGCCCCGCACTGCATGTAGACGCCTTTAAAGTAGGGGTCGACGAGCTTGCGCTCGTCGAACTCGGCCTTGATGCGCTCCCAGTACGTCTCGATGCTCTGGTTCGTACCGGTGGTCGGGTCGAGGCAGACGACTTTCCACGCTTCGGCGAGGCATTCATGTTCCTTGGACGTCCACTTAATGCGCAGCTCGGCGGTCCTGGCCGCCCCCTTTTTCTTCTTGCGCCTCCTCGCCGGGACAGTCGCCGGATCCTCCTCCTCCTCCTCCTCCTCCTCCTCGTCCTGCTCCTCTGGCTCCTCCTCCCCGTACTCGAGCTTGCCGTCCATGCCGCCGTTGAGGTCCACCGTGTCGTCCTGGGTAGCGAACCCGGGGGACGCGGCGGCCGCGGCCGAGCCTGTCGTGATGATGCCGTCCATGTCGGCGTCGGTCTCGCCGGTGTCACCAAGGTGCGACATGGAAGCTTGTGAGAAGGGCAGCGCGCCACGACGGGGAGGGGGGGTCGGGGAGCACGAGTAAACCGGCGGCGAGTAGTTGTATGGAGGATACTCCACACCGACGAAGGCGGGCAAGGGCGTGCGCTGGGTCGGGTGTCCATGGGGAAGGTGACGTTGGGGTTGAACCCGCCGTGCGCGTCCCCGTCGGCGTAGCCCGGCGACGGCGTGCATCCCCATGGTTGCGGCGACGACAAGAAGCCGGACGGAGAGCTGACGCTTTGCTGGCTCTAGGGTACGTGCTGGGCGTGGCCGCCTGGTCGATTCATCATCCCCAAGCGAGTCGCCTCGACCTTGGCTTGGTTCGCCGCAGCCACAGCGGCACGCGCCGCGTTGTCACGGGCCTTCTTGGCGATTGCCCTGTTCCGTCGGTCGGTGGTGACGGCCTCCCGTCGCTGAACTTCCGCCCTCCACTCGGCGTTTGTCATGCCCGGTGGCTTGGACAGCGGCGCCCTCGGCTTCCTCTGGTTCGGCTGGGCCACGGAGGCGGTCGCGGTGGTCGCAGCGCGGGGGATCACGTACTTCTTCGGTGGCATGGCGGCAGCTGGGAGGCGAGCGGGAGGGAGATTGGCAGGAGGAAAGGAGAAAATGAGGGAAGTGGGGGGCGAGGGCGGGAAGAAACGGCGGGAAGAGGCTCTCGACTCACTGACAGAGCGGCCCAACGCCCTTTTCGCTTGTGCCGGTGCCTCCAGGCGCGCCCTAGCGCGTCGGGTTCGGTCTGGGTCTGTCGGCACCAGTTTCGACCCAAGCCGGCGAAAAAGAGGCTCCTGAGGCGTGACTGGGCCGAATTTTAGGCACCGGCGTGGCAAAAACGTCTGAGGAGAGCCTGTTGGGGCCGCGGCTGAAGATGCTCTAACAGCAGATGGAGCAGTGTTTTTTTTTTTTGCATGGTAATACGCGTCTCATAAAGATCATAGTACAAATCGAGTAGTCCCAAGACAATTGTTTCTTAAAACGAAAGTTTGTATAGCACCTACACTGAACTACACGAACATGTCGCAAAAAGCAAGCCGATTAAAAATCGAAAGCCTACAAAATATGTTAAGGGAAAGCTATCGTCTAGCACCACTTCAGCGAAGGGAACTCGGTGGTGTCATCTAGGCTCGGTGGCGGCGGCGGAGGAGCCTGCTGGGGAGCCGGCGGCGCCTCGACGCCTTCTGCAGGGGGCGCCTCGTTCATGGACATGCTGCCTTGCTGCCTCCTTAGCGCTTCGAATCTTCCCGGCATGCCGAATTGCTGATTCCTCGATGCTCCGTTGTAGTTGTTGTTATTGTAATATCTACCTTGCTTTGCTGGGCCCTGTACCTTGCTGCTATCCGTCGAAGCCCCTGCGCTCTTATCACCACCGGAAACTCCATTGTTCCCCTTCGCCTTTGCCTTCGCCTCCGCTTCCGCCCTTGCCTTGGCCCTAGCCTGTCTCTCCAGCTGGTTTTTCCTGATCACATAATCCCGTGCAGAAGGGTAGGCCTGGCCGAGTAGATCTTTGGTATGATCAGCGGCCGGCGTCGGCTTCTTCTTGTGCTTGGCCGCCGTCACTTCCTGTTTGGCATCGGCGTCGTCGAAGTCGGGGACGAGCTTGTCGCCGGGATCGTTGCGGTCGAGGAGCGCGAAGAGGTTGACGCTGGGCTTCAGTCCCGCCATGTCGGCCGGGCAAGCAAATCCTGCTGCTGCGGAAAACGCTCGACGGCCCGCCGACGAGATCGACGGATGACTTTCCTGCTGGTTGCTTGCTGATGATGTGCGATTTTTTGGCTCCGAAGCTGTGCGACAGGCATGTATATATAGATAGCTTTGACGCGCTCGTACAATCCGAGTCCAACTAGATTAGTGTTTCTTAGACAAATCCAATTATTAGATTAGTTATGTACGAGACGAACTAGTGCTGGGTCTGCATGCTGTTCGAATTGGAGGAGGACTCCAAGACAATCTGGTATGGGGGCGTCTGGCTCCGGTATGACTTGGTTGCAACAGTTCGACTGGGCCTCAAGCTCTCGTGTCTGCAACGTGATGATGGCATGGCAGCTAAACATAATGTCACGACCCAACAACAGATGGAAGATGAACCAAAGAATCACCACTAGTATTTAGATACAACAATTGAGAGATACAAGGAGAATCTGGGGTGAGAAATCATCAAAGGGAGGAGGAGGAGATAAGTAGCAGGGAGTCAATTGCAAGAAATCACCATATTTGCGGCTAGGTTTGCAGAAAACCACCAACTCGTTAATCCGTTGCAAAAAACACCGGAAAATTTGTTAAGTTGTTGCAAAAAGCACTGATCGGGTGATTTAGCCTATTTGATCACTTTCTGACAAGTAGGACAGGATAGCAAGAAGCTGACTTGGCAAACAATTGACACAAACACCCCTGGAATGCAAAACAAAAAGCAATCAACACCCCCCCTCTCTTCATCCCCTTCTTGTTGCTGCTCGCCGCAGTTCGTCGCCTCCCGCCCGACCTACAGTGCCTCCGCCCCTGCCTCCCTTGCAGCCCAATCGGACGACCACCTCCGCCACTTGCCTCAATACAGTCGCCGTCCTATACGACCACAGCCCGGTTTGCCAACCACAATGGCCGCCTGCGCTGGTGACCCTGCCTGCAGCCTCCCATGGTGCCCCTCGCTGGAGGTCAACGACAAGCTCACGGGGCGTGCTGCTTCTCGTCCTCCCAGCGCCGTGCCGGATCACGCCGCCATCCCCATCGTTGAGCTCCGCGCCTCCCGCAGGCTCGACGTGCTCCACCGCCGCGAGCTGTCCAGCGACGCAGATCGAGGCGCTTTCGCTCTTCGTGCCGGAGGACGATGGCAGCGGCGAGGGCCAGCCCTTGCTCGATGACTCCGACGACTCCCAAATCCAAGTCGCGCTGCCGATGAGCTCCTCCTCCGCTGCACCCTGTTCCCCGCCACGCTGCCATTTACCTCCTCCTCCGCTCCGGTGCGCACTGCTCACCGCCGCTGCCGGAAGTCCGCGCTGCCCCTGGCCACGGGGTCGAGCGAGCGCGACGGCCGGACCCCCGGAGACCGCTCCGACGAGGAGGTCGACCACGAGGCGGACACGTCCTCGCCGGATCCTTTGCCGGGCGGGAGCGGTGGAGGCGACGTCAGAGGCCCGAGTACAAGGGGTGGCAGCTGTAGCCTCCTCCCGATCGGATCGAGAGAAGGGGATCGAGAGCAGGGGGTTGGTTGCTTTCTATTTTTGGATTCAAGGGTGTGTATGTAATTATTTTGCCAACTCAGCTCCTTACAAATTGGCCCTACCTGTCAAAAAGTGATTAAATGGGCCAAATCATCCGATCAGTGCTTTTTGCAATGAGTTAACAGATTTTCCGGTGTTTTTTTGCAACGGATTAGCGAGTTGGTGGTTTCCTGCAAACCTAGCCGCAAATGTGATGGTTTCTTGCAATTGACTCCAGTAGCAGGGGGTGAGGAACTGGAGAAGGAGATGAGAAGCTGGTAAACGATGCAGTTCATTTTCCATGCCCTCCCCTGTGCTCTCCCGATTGCATATGCAGCCTGTGCCCTATGGGAAACATTTTTTGAAAATTGCGAACAGTTTTCAAATGCCGTAAAAAATATATATTCCAAACTCGGTTTTTGCAAAGTGAACCATTTTTATAATTCCGATTTATGACAAAACAGGAACAAAAAATGCAAACATTTTTTGAAATTCCTGAATATTTTCCGAGGTCATGAAGAGTTTTTAATTTTGAAATAAAAATTGAAACAAGAACATCTTTTAAATTCAGAACAAAAAGTTAAAACATGAACAGTTTTTTCAAGAATGCGAACAAAATAGGTATTAGTACACTTTTTTGGAAATGTGAACAAAATTTAAAACATGGGAACATATTTTGAAATTGTGAACAAAATGTTGAAACCGCGTACATTTTTATGAAACCTTATGAACAAATTTTGAAAACGAGATATTTTTAATGAAATTACTGAATATTTTTTGAAACACAAACATTTTCTGAAATCCCAGAACTTCTTGAAAGACGAACATTTTTTGAAAATGTGAAGAAAATTTTGAAAATGAGAACATTCTCGAAACATGAATATTGTTTTGAAAACTATGAACAAATTTCAAAAACAAGAACATTTTTTGAAATTCCAAACAATACTTGAAATTTTCGAACAAAATAAACTAGAAATAGGAAAAATTAGAACGGAAAGGAAAAAAGAGAACAAAAATAAAAATTGTTAAATGAAAATGAATATGAAAGAAAATAAAAAAAGAAAAACAGAAAGAAAAATAAACAGAAAAAAGGAAAGAGTAGATAATAGAAACAGGAAAAAAGAAAAAAGAAAAAAAAAGAAAGGTAGCTAGAGGAAAATAAAAAACCGGTTTAGAAACCTTCCAGAAGGTTCCAGAAAATGGAAAACCCCATCCAGAAACTGGTTCAATAATTATACAGACATTTGTATAATTCAATGTTTGTGTAATTTAAAATATTCATAATTGATAATTTAAAATGTTGATATGAATATCCAATAGTGGGTAATATTTAAATTATGTATTTTTTAGTACATGTGACAAGTGAAATTTATACATGGGTGAATATTCATAAAATATTTAGTAAAGGTCTCTTTCATTATTTATTTTTATAACTTAAATATAAACCAGGAGTGCATATTTTTTGTGTGTTCATTAGTAATTTTTATTTAATAAACCTTTTAAATGTCTGTGTTTACTAAACATATTTTTATATAATACACAATTGTATATTGTAAATGTTCTATTACTAATCATCACTTGTATACATGATATTTATAACACAAGTATTTGAACATTATTTTTATCACACACACACACACACACACACACACACACACACACACACACACACACACATATATATATATATATATATATATGTTTTATAACTTGTTTTTGAGAAGATATATGTTTTATAACTATCTTAAAATCTAACGCGTGCAAAATAAGCCTCACTAACTGTAGCCCATTTAAGCCCCACAAACAGCCTCGTTATCAAAATTACCCCCACAAGTGTTCTGGTTAAAGCAACTCTAGCAGACCCCGCATCCCGTCGGCCCACAAAACGCGTTTGCAGTTCGCGCAAAATCACTTTTGCGTGCCGGCTTGGACGACCACAGATGCAGACCCCTCAAACGGACCCTAAAAAAGCATATTCGCGGAATATACTTTTTTACGGGTCGGCTATGCGGGGTCTGCTCTTTGCGCCGCTGCATCCGCATCTCATCGGCCTGCAAATATCAAATCCAACATAATACAACAATCGAAAGTAAAACTAAATTATTCAAATCAAACATAATACAATAATCATCCACATTACAAATAATTATTCAAATCACCATAGCAAACTTAAATAATGCAATACAAAACTTGTGAGGAATACAAATACAAATGAATACAAAAATGAGTCACTGTCCAGCCCTTTGCCAATGGTGCTCAATGAGATCCTCCTGAAGTTGAAAGTGGGTGTTTGCATTTTCAATCTCCTTGTATGTTTGAAGAAAAGCTCTAATGCGGTTAGGGTCTCTAGTTGGTTTGACACGACTACCCACATTGTCATAGAAGAATTCCAAGTTCATTTCTCTCTCATCTTCAAGAATCATATTGTGCAGGATAACACAACATGTCATAATATTTTTCAAGGTTTTCTTATCCCAAAAACGAGCAGAGCCACGGACAATGGCAAACCTAGATTGCAAAACACCGAATGCTCTTTCAATGTCTTTTCAGGCTGCCTTTTGCACCCTTGCAAATTCACATTGCTTTTTAGTTTTGGGTTCTTTGATGTTTTTGATAAATGCGCACCAAGGAGGGTATATACCATCTGCAAGATAGTACCCATTTGTGTATTCATGCCCATTGATAGTGTAGTTGCAAGCAGGAGCATCACCACTAGCAAGCCTAGCAAACAAATGAGACCGTTGCAGCACATTGATATCATTGAGAGTGTCCGGCATACCAAGAAAGCAATGCCAAATCCATAAATCCTCGGATGCTACGGCCTCTAGCACAATTGTTGCATCACCAGGCTTGCCACAATACATTCCTTGCCATGCCTTGGGGCAATTTTTCCAAGTCCAATGCATACAATCAATGCTACCTAGCATGCCTGGCCAACCTCTCCTCTCATTAGTTACCACCAATTTCTTTGTGTCATCTTCATTGGGTGCCCGAAGATACTCAGGACCAAAGACACGGATGATCACCTTTGCAAATCTACGCACAGACTCAATTGTAGTATCTTCACCAATGCGAAGGTACTCATCGGCATAGTCAGCCGGAATACCATA